CAGCAGCAGTAATCATGTCGAAAAGCCTTTTCGAAAATGAAAGTTGTTGTGGAATTTCAGAAAAGGCCCTTTCGCTTCACGTTTTTCCACTGTTCGCTTATATTGATCTTATTGCTTCGATGACTTCTGCAATGAGATTGTTCACTTAAGAGTATAATTCGAATAGTGAATTGTTGAATGTAGATTGTTCGATATGTCTTAGTTATGGTTGAATAATAATGATGTTTGCGAAATGATAGCAAAAGAGAATGAGTTGAGTGGAGTGCTTCTATGAGAGTGTTAATCTGAAATTTGCATTTGTAAAGGTCGCGCAGTGGCTCTGCAGCACCGAAAACTCGTAACCAACAACATGCTGCTGGGAAACGTTCGAAGAGCTCAAATCAACAGCATTTGGGAATGGTCGAGGAGGAATCGGTTATTTTCACATTATGATTATTTGCATGATTATAATATCGTCATTAATATCACATTTCTTATTGAATTCAGTGTTAAGTTCATTATGGTGGTTACTATTCTGAAGTTCGCTAGTGCTTAACGGAGTTTTGTTTGTAGCTGATGCCTCATTTAGGCGACTCTTTTTGATGCTTGAATGAACAGTTGATAAATTCAACAAAACAATTTTTTAATTTAGTGCTCTTTTTATGCTGGCTGCAAAGTAGCTGGAAATTTATTTTTTGGATTTTTTCAATGTGTTCTGTCAAGGTTCCTTCTGCATACAATATTTGTGTTCAACTTTGCCTCAAAAATCCATATATTATAGACTTGCATATAAAACACCTTCGATGATAAAAATTCCTAGTGATAGTCAATAAAAATCTTGCAATCACTTCACTACTCAGTAACAGTGATGTTGTTTCAGGAAGCACCGCGTAAACGAGCGAAAGACTGTACCGGCTCGTCAACGTTGATCACTGCAACCACGACAATATCGGTGGATGCGGAAGGCAAGCGACCGAGTCGTGCGAAGGTGGCGATTCGAAGATCGATGAACCGTTCAATGTCCGAGTCGAACATTCTCACCACGGTTGGTCGCTTGAGCTTCATCACTTCAGCGCTTTCTTCTTTCCTCTCTATTAATTTCATTTTTGTGATGTTGTCATTTGGGAATGATGTTCCTCTTTGTCATTCAGGAAA